TTCTTACTGTAACTGACTTGAAGTTTGTTTTTTTTTAAACTAATTCACGAGAGACCACACAAATCGGGCAGAACCCCCTTGCGCAATAAAATTTACCGAGTCACACGTTCCGGTGAGGGCTGGAAATTTCAGAGATTTGTCTCAGGAGCATCTACTTTCATACCACCAAACTATAGAAAATTCCTGACCCATGTGAAAAAACATTCCCTTGTCAGTTTATGAAAAAGACCCTTAAAACCAAACCCCTCTATTCCAGGCTACGGAAAAATTGAACCGCAAACCATCAACGGTCGCATTTCCACCGTAATCTATGGATTCTTTGGGATCCCATTAACTGTCATTTTACTCACCAACTTTGGAAGATATTTGGAAGCAATGGCAACAAGATTCAGAAGACTTTTAACATGCAGAAGACGTCGTGAAGATGAGGAGGAGAACGTTTCGGGAAGCACTCTATTCTTCATTGTTATAGTTTATTTGATTCTCGGCGCCGTTATGATTCCATTGATGAGTGGACAATTCGACTTTTTCAACGGAATTTATTATGCGTTTATTTGTTTGACTGCTATCGAATATGGGGATATCATTCCACAAAAGTGGGTTTTTTTTTTCATAGTAGTCTAAGTTTTGAGCCAGCCGGCAAGGCCTGAAAGCCCTGCCAGGCGTGTGCCCAGGATCGCGCTCTATAGATGACGCCGTCTGCCACCTTGAAAAAGCTGGCCACGCCGTCATTTTGGCTACCGTTGCTGAGATTTTCCACACGGCATCATCAATGGGGCGCGTAGTCATCATCTCTATTTGCCTAATATATATTTCTTAAAATTTATGAAATTCCAGTAATTGGTTCCTGCCGATCAGTGTCTTCTACATGTGTACGGGACTTGCCATATCAACTATTGCTTTAGGTGAGTTTTCTTTCACTCCTTGGAGACCTGGTTGCCTAGGAGAACGACTTAGAAATCTAGTGAGAAGGGGAAGCGACTACTTGGAGAAGTGAGTCATGGCAACGGAAAATTGCTTGGCAACCACCTTGCCGTGGAGTAGTGGAAATTTACTTAGTTACCTGGTAACTAATATGGAAGTCTTGGTAACCAGTTTCTTGGAGAGGCTGCTATAGGAGAGAGGCCATGGAGACAGAAATGAGAGCCTTATCAACCAAGAGAAAGGATTCTATAGAAAAAACGCCAAAAAAGACTAAGTGGCATAAAACCAGTAACTCGTAAATTGCTCAGAATAAAAAAATGAAATCCGAAGCTGAATCCTTTCATGTAACGCATATTTAGTGAGACGCACTTGACAGCTCTGATAAAATTGGAATTTCATATTATCAATACCTACTAAAACCCGGTCAAAGGTTTTCAAGCCAGACAGTTTTTGAGATTACTGTATTCATTTATTTTTTCTTATTTTCAAAAAGCCTGAGGAGTTTGTTCGTTTACCGGGGCTTTGTCCGGATGTCTACAAGTTGAGAAGATAGGTCATGATTTTGAAAAGATTAGGGGCAAATAGCCAAAGAGCACGTTGACTCAATTTTGACTTCTGCAAAGTTATTTTCATAGTTAGCCACAAACATCCATACTGCAAATGGCGCACAGTCAGGATTTTACCCAGGGCTCTGAACATATTTGCGGTAACATACTACTAAACATTACTAAACCCAGCTGTGGATTAAGTCAACCACCTACAATACCGGTCATTTTCATACGAACACCATATGAAAGTTAAGTTAATTTTGTACTGAAAATTTTGGAAGACTTTCTGTCGGCTATAACTCAGCAGGCATGATAGCTGCAAACATGTCATGTATTACAAAAATGTAGACCATCGTATGCTCTATTGATCTTCAGTTGATCACTTTTTTCTACCTTGAAAGGTTTTTGAGATAGGACCATTCTTACCAAGGATGATCTGAGGTTTGACTGTTTTGGGCTTCCCTATTTCCAAAGGAAAACTTTTTATTGCACGGCGTGTAACTCGTGAACCGTACGAGATATCAAAAAGCAGTCAACTAATGACCTCAAGATTATCAAGTTTTACACATTTTATCAGTTGCACACTTTTTCATATCTCATCTGGCTCTAAAGTTATGAGCTCTCAAAGTTGTTCTTCCAAAATTTTCAGTACAAAATAAATGGCGGGTACTGCGTTTTTGGGCTCATCAAATTTCTGCAAAAAAAATCCTTGAAATGAACTTGTGTTTTCTGAAAGTATAATCTATTGTTTTTCGTATTAAAAAACGGAAGTCATTCATCAATTCTGAACTGCCAAACTGGTTTCTTTCTCTTTTTTTTGAATTGTAGTTCTTCTTCTCCATCTCCAATTCCTATCACTAACCAAACATCACTTTGTTTTTTTCCATTCAATGAAATCACATACCTTGACGCCCACAAAGTCATAAAAACATACAAAATCAATTTCAGATATTGGATCAATTTATGTCAGAAAGCTGCATTTCATTGGGAAGAAAATCAAAAACATTGCCAATATCAGAATATGGTTTGGAGCAAGAAAGTGAGGGATTATTCTGGGATTTTTGCGAAAAAAAAAAGATTTTTTTAGTTTGGAAGTGAGAGAACTCATCACTGCAGTTGGACAAAATATTGGAATCGATCAGAATGTGATAGCCGACATTGATATCGATACATTAGTCAAAACGGCGATTCAAGTGAAGTTAGGAAGACTTTCGAGAGTTCCACAGACACATATGATTGTGGAAGGTATTTGGCCGCCGGAACTTGTTCCATTGTTTATGAAAGTGAGGGAAAAATTAAAATTTCACTTTTCAAAATTCTTTTTTAGGATGGCCAATTCCCACTTTTCGTTGATTCAGAAGATGATCTTACGGATCTTCGACCCAAAAAATACTCGGTTCACTTTGAAGAT